AGAGTACAGCTTTGGTATGGATTACATCTCAATGTAAAGAAAACAAAAATCCTTACCACTGGACCAATAAACAACATTCGTATCAATGGAGAAAATATTGAAGTTGTCAAGGACTTCATTCTTCTTGGACAAACCATCAACACTCATGGATGCAGCAGACAAGAAATCAAACAACTTATTGCATTAGGCAAATCTGCTGCACAAGACCTCGTTAAAGTGTTGGAGAGTAAAGATGTCAGCTTGAGGACTAAGGTGCACCTGACCCAAGCCATGATATTTTCAGTAACCTCCTATGCATGCGAAAACTGGACAGTAAATAAGGAAGACTATAGAAGAATTGATGCTTTTGAGTTATGGTGTTGGAGGAGAATATTGAAAGTGTCATGGGCTGCCAGAAGAACAAATGGATTTGTGTTGGAAGAAGTACAGCCAGAGTGCTCTTTGGAGGCCAGGATGGCCAAACCTTGCCTCTTATACTTCTGACCTATTGTCAGGAGGGACCAATTGCTGGAGAAGGATATGCTTGGTAAGGTGGAGGGTCAGAGAAAATGAGGAAGACCCCCAACAAGATGGATTGGCCAAGTGGCAGCATCAATGAGCTCAAGCGTGGCAACAATTGTGAGGTTGGTCCAGGACCAGGCAGCATTTCGTTCTGTTGTGCTTAAGGTCGCTATGAGTCGGTACTAACTCAATGGCACCTAACAACAACAACAACATGGAAGACCACGTAATACAACAATTATTCAGATTTAGGCACCAATCATTAATGTCAAAGATGAAGAAATTGAAGATTTCACCAGCTTCTTCATTATGAAGTTGATGAAACATGAAATCAGGATGCATTGATAATTGCTGGTGATTGGAATACAAAGGTTGGAAACAAAGAAGGATTGATAGTTGGGAAATATAACATTGATGATAGAAAAATTAGAGATTACATATAGAATTTTGCAAGACCAGTGACTAATTCATTGTAAATACCTTTTTAAATCCTCCCAACAGCATAGATGATGATTATCTTGGATAGCCCTCCTTGGATGGAATACAATGGAATCAGATCTACTACATCTGCAGAATGACCATGGAGAAGCTAAATATCAGCAATAAAAAAAATGCTAGGGGCTAACTGCCAGATAGACCATTGATTGTTTATTTACAATTTCAACTTAAAGGTGATGAGAAGTAAAACAAGTCTATGAAAGCCAAATTATCACCTTGAGAATATTCCACCAGAATTTATAGACAATCTCAAAAATAGATATGATGCACTGAACACTAATGAGCAAAATCAGATGACTGTGGGATGACATCATGCAGGAAGAAAGCAAAAGATTCTTAAAAACACAAGAACAAAGAAACAATTTAAATGGATATCATACATAAGAGACTCTGAAACTTGCTCTTGAGTTTAGAGTAACTAAAGCAAATGGAAGAAATGTTGGAGTAAAAGAGCTGAAAAGAAAATTTCAAAAGGCATAAGGAAGTGTTAAAATGAAAGGTACAATGACATGATTTAGAAAAACAAAAGAGAAAAACATGCTCACCATTTCTCAAGCTGAAAGAACTGAAGAAAAAAATTCAAGTCTTGAGTTGCAATATTGAAAGATTCTATGTGTAAATTGTTGAAAGACACCAGGACTCCAGATTGAAAAACACAGGAAGCATCAAAAGAAGGTAGAAGGAATAAACAGAGTCACTGTACCAAAAAAAATAGATTGGCATTCAACCATTTCAAGAGATAACATTTAATCAAAAGCCTCTGATATTAAAGGAAGATATACAAGTTGCACTGAAGGAATTGATGAACCAAGACTCCAGAAACTGATGGAATACAAATGGAAAGGTCTCAACAAACTGATGCTGCAGTGGAAGTGTTCACTCTGTATATGCCAAGACATTTGGAAGATAGCTACGTGGCCAACCTTTTGGAAGAGATCCATGTTTGTGCCTATTCCAAAGACAGGTGAGCCCACGGAATGCAGAAATCATTGAACAATTTCACTAATATCACATGCAAATACAATTTTTTTTTGAAGAAAATTCAAAACAGCAATACATTAACATGTAGCTGCCAGAAACTCAAGCCAGATTCAGAAGAGGACATGAAATAAGGGCTATCATTGCTACAATCAGATATGTCTTGGCTGAAAGCTGAGAATATCAGAAAGATGTTTACTTGTGTTTTATTGACTATGAAAAAGCATTCAACTGTGTGGAAAATAACAAACTATAAATAACATTGGGAAGAATAGGAATTCCAGAATACTTTATTGTCTCATGAGGAGCCTGTATATAGAACAAGAAGCAGTTGTTAGAGCAGAACAATGGATACAAAGGAAAGGTGTGTGCCAAGGTTGTGTCCCTTCACCATACTTATTCAATCTGTCTGCTGAACAAATAATCTGAGAAACTAGAACAAATAATCTGAGAAACTAGGATTGGAAGAAGACTCATTATTAACAACCTGTGATCTGTAGATGACACAACCTTTGTTGCTGGGAATGTAGAGAACTTTAAGTATATACTAATGAACATCAAAGACTCTAGTCTTCAGTATGGATTGCACCTCATGTAAAAAATAAAATTTCTCACAACTGGACCAATAGATAACATCATGATAAATGGAGAAAAGATTGAAGTTGTTAAGGATTTTGCTTTACTGGGATTCACAATATTCATAGAAGCCACAGTAAAGAAATCAAATTATGTATTGCATTAGGCAAATCTGTTGCAGTCTCTTTAGTCCTGGTGTGGTACAGTGGGATAAAGCACTAGACTGCCAGGTCGGCCTGAACCACAAGGTCGGCGGTTCAAACTCACCAGCCGCTACTTGGAAACCTTTTACAGGGTCGCTATGAGTTGAAACTAACTCAATAGTACTTAACAACAACAAAGTGTGCAATAACAAAGATGTCAGCTTGAGGACTAAGGTGTGCCAGACCTAAGCCACAGTATTTTCAGTAGTCTCATAAGAATATGATAGCTGGACAGTGAATAAGAAAAATAGGAGAAGAATTGATACATTTGAATTATGATATTGGTGAAGAATATAATTGAATGTACCATGGACTGCCAGAAGAATAAACAAATCTGTTTTGGAATAAGTATGGCCAGATTGTTATTTGGAAGTGAACATGGCAAGACTTTGTCTCTCGTACTTTGGACATGTTGTCAGGAAGGACCAGTCCCTGGAGAAGGATATCATTCTTGGCAAATTAAGGGTGAGCAAAATAGAGGAATACACACACCGCTCCCCCCAAGGAGATGGATTGACACAGTGGCAGCAACATTAACAATTGTGAGGATGGTGCAAGATTGAACAATTGTACATGGGTTGTTATGAGTCAGAACTGACTTGAAGGCAACTAATAGCAAACAACAATAACATAGGATAAAATTCAAGCTCATTGACTTGGCATACTAACTTTTTCAATATTTGAATACAATGCTCTATCCCTCCCTCCTTGCTCTCAGTGCTCCGGATATGTCATGTTCTTTCTATTTCCCTGAAAAATACCATGCTCTTTCATGTTTTGGTCTATTTGTGTTTATTGAACCTTTTACCTAGAATTAATAGCACTTTTTTGGTCCTCTTTGCAAACATCCTTAAAGACTCAGTTCAGCTATCACCTTTTCGTGTAATGTCTTCTGGATGCCATCAACAAAATGGTTTTCTCCTTTTTGCTTCTTTTTTTTTTTTTTTCCTTTTTGCTTCTTTTAAAGTCCTATACTACAGTACAGGTAGTCCTAGATTTACGGCATATTTGAATTAATGACAATCTGCACTTATGACCCTCTGTTTTTGTTTTATACATCTTATCATTAGTAATAGGCACTTCAAACAATATGTAATTTGCTGATATTATCATTCTCATATATTTGCTCACGGACAATCAATTTCATGATTTACTCTTAGAAAAACTACTTTATAGATTTAGTTTTCTAAACTATATTGGAGCTCTAGTTACTTCAAAACATGGACCATAGAACTAAGCACTTTACTAAAGTGAATAGGCAGATTCAGAAAGCAATGGATGTTACTGCTAAATATATGAAGAAAAAAAAGGCTGAACAGACAATGCTCATTGATTTTTTTTGTCTAGAAATGTCATTCTCATTCTGAGGAATAATCCAGATAATCCATAAATTTAAGTGAAATGATTACCTCAACTGACAAAATGCCAACACTGTCCAACTCTTCATCACGGGAGTAAAATTTTACAATATATGTGTTTTATACTCAACAGTAATGGGTTTGGTTTTTATGTATGTTTTTAAATATATCTGTAAATTTGTGTGTAATGTTTCCAACACCCAAAGACAAGTAAAAATCAGATTTTAAAAGATACTCATAATTAAAAGGCAACAATAATGAAAACTTTAAAAATAAAATAAAAATGAGGTATTTAGCTTACATCAGAATTGACTTACAATGGAGTCTGGAACTGGCTGTAATTATTTATTATGTAATTTTTTCTTTTCAGATGCTAATAAACTTAAGTGAGAATTCTTTTTTATCATCTTTTTACCCTAGAAGATGTTTGTTGAATAAATAATAAATTAAAATACTCTATTTCTGGTTGGTTAGTTCATTAAGTTAGTGCCCTCTTTTTAAGATCCAAGATATATCTCCTGTCTCTGTATGACTGGCTTTGCTATTTCATAGTCACAGATTGTATTCCTATCTTGGCGAATCTTACATGAGAAATAGAGAAACTAGACCTTGATGGGCCAGTAGTATCACCTTCATATATACAATATGATGTTGTTGTTAAGTGTCGTCGAGTTGGTTCTGACTCATGGTAACCCTGTATAGGTTTTCCAAGGAACAGCTGGTGAGCTTGAACTGCCAACCTTGAGATCAAACCGACTTTGCAGTCCAGCGCATTAACCCACAACAAGCAAACTGTCATTTTAAAGATGGACTTTTGAAACTGTCGAGAACATACCTTATTTAGATTAAATATACTGAATTGTCTGTTTGATATGTTATATTAAAGGAACTAAAAAAAGTATCTTCAGACTTGATAAAGTCCAAGGTCACATGTCAGTATAAGATGGGAGAAGAAAACATCAACGTAACAATTAAAGAACAGAAAATTCAAGAACTTCAAGAACAACTCAGTATGGTATTTAATTAAATGTATTCATTTTTATTATATTATTGGTTTTAGAAAAATTTTAGGATTCTAACACAAAAATTTCCTGCTATATGTGGATAATATGTGTTTGAAAAATCAGTATTTAATCTTTTTAAAATTATTAGATAACATTTGGTCTTAGCAAAACTTTGGAACAATAAAATTTGTCTATATAATTTTAGTTTCACTTTAATATGGTATCCCATAATTTGTGATATAATAGTATCTACAGAACAGTTTTTGGAGACAAGAAATGCAATTTTTAACATTAACATTTAAAAGTTTGCACCCTTATACTGGACATCTAATGCCTTCTTCAGTTCAGTGGAGTTACTACTTCCACTGCAAACAAATGTGGGTACTCTAGGGTAAGAATAGATTGTCACTCCAAGTTTTTTGAGCATTGACTTGACTGCAGAATTTGCTGAATTTAACAACTTTAAGTAATTCATTTTTTAAAGGAATTGGAATTAAATAAGAATATTAATGAAGAGATTGCCCATATTCAAGAAGAAAAGCAGGTAAACGATTATGACATATTTTGAAAGCCAATTATGGGGGAGTGTAAGGAATAAATCAAGTAAATAACAAATGGAATTCTGTGTAGGTCAGTGCCCAGCACAGTGCACACTCAGTTAATGTACATTGAATGGACACATGTGCCTTTTTAATCAAGCCCCACATATACTCCCCATTACATTTTAGTAATTTTTTCTTGATAGTTTGTCACTCTTGCACAGGGATGGAACATTTTTTTCTGCCAAAATTTATAACATTATTCATGGGCCATACAAAAACTATCAATTTTAAAATTAGTTTGCTGTATTTGGTCAAACATTTATTTGGCTCACCCCTTATGTGATGGCTGGGGTCCTGGTCTGGCACTATAGGATAAGCACCAGACCACAATGTTGGTTTGAATTACAAGGTTGGCGGTTCAAATTTACCCTCCACTCCTATTCAGGGTGGCTATGAGTTGGAACAGTTTCCATGGTACTTAACAACAGCAACAACATGTTGATAGGAACTGCAGTTGCTTTAGCAGGGCCAGACTAAATGATTTTGTAAGCCTTATGTGGCCCATGGATATTTCCCACCCCTGCATAAAGATTGAAATATATAGATGCTTAGTGCAGGATTGTTTAGGCCATTATATTCTTAGTTGAATTTATTTCATATTTATGACCCTTCCACAAAAACAGAAAAAATGGTGTGTGAAAGAAAACATTTGGTACCAGATACATGCCATGACATCCTGGTCCATCTGTACTGTGATTTTATAATAGTGATTTATTTGAAATTTGTTATGGAAGTGAATAGATTTTATTATAGTTTTAAATTCTTCATATTTTCAGTAGTGTCTCAGGATTTGGATTCCATTTCAAAAAACTTTGTTAATTATTTGAGGGACACTTAGAACAATGTTTTGTAGGAAATAATGTACTATAAATTATTTCATACATTAAATTAGTAGCATATGACTGAAAGTACTTAAGTACTAAAATTAAATGACAATAAAACCTGCAAAAGTCAGAACCTCTGTAAAGAAAGAAAAGTCAAATGTTTTCCACTAATGGAGAGAGGTAGAAAAGTGGTGAATGCACCCTGTCAAAGATGGAAAATTTTCAAGTTCTAGAAAAACAAGGCAGTCCCATCAAGTTCTGATTCTTACAGTTTTGAGACTATAAAGAAAATGAGTTTGGAAATAAGAAAATGTATTTGAAAAATGAATTTAGAAACATATCTATCTTAAAAGTTTTCCAACTGATATATAATATTCATTCTTTTTTTTTTTTTTTAAAGAATGTCATCATTTCTTTTCAACATATGCAGCAGTTACTTCAGCAACAGACTCAAGCTAATACTGAAATGAAGGCAGAATTGAAGGTGCTAAAAGAAAATAATCAGGTTTTATTTTTCTTCAGTTGATTTTCATCTAATAAGTTTTACCTGTTCATTTGCATTTATTTTTCCAATTTTGGGAAGATTATTTTCAATTTTAGGGGTAAAATTGGTCTCCTTCATCAACTTGGCATTAATGTATAAAATACTGAATGTATTTTTTCAACATTGATGTTACCAGTTAAATTGCAAATGCTATCAAATATCAAATTTTATTTTGTAACTGGATGAATGAGATTTTTTCCGTTTATTTTAGAATTTTGTTCTTGAAACTGAAAATAAAAGGGAATAAGTATTACTACATTCTAAGAAAGCAATTAGTGTGCTTCCAGAAGTTGGGGTCCTATCCCTTTTTACAAGAATTTGAGACAACTGGCTGTATTACCACAACAGTCAGTGTATCCTTTCTTCAGTATACTTCTCTAGAAATATCTGACATTTCACATTTACCAAAACTTTGAAAGAATTCTCAGATTGCACCTCTGATGGGCTGGGCTCCATAGTCTATGCCTGGTTCAGGGCTGCCTCTTCCACAAACCAATGTGAACAATATACCAGTGGGCCCAGCGACAACAGGGCCACATGAGTAATTGTGACCGACAGGTTGTAGAATGCCTTCTCCCATTTGTTTGAGAAGTCTTGGTCTGGCCATGGAGTACACGGTGCAATGGTATGACAACACCAGGTCAAGGATTGCAGAGAGCATGGAGGTGCTGGGGAGGTCATTAAAGGGAGGCAAAAAGGGGAGGCAAAGGAAGGAGAGACTGTGTAGACTGTAGGGCTTGGGCAGATGGAAGACAAACGGGGTCCCTGCCAGGGTAGGTGCCAAAGGCAGTGGGCATCAGACAACATTCAACAATTACCCACCCACCTCCCACTCCCTGTAGATTCCACAGTGGTGGAAAAGGCATGGTGAGGAAGTGAGGCAGTGAGCATGGCAGGTGCAGAGAGGGTCACCAGCACATAAGATCAGGTGGGCGCACATTTCTCATAATGCTGAGTTTACATAATGTACAGCCCAGCCTAGTCTTTGTAACCTAATCATGCCCATAAGTGAGGAGTGGAAGTATATAAGAAAATAATTATGGAAGGAAAGAAGTTACAGGATTCTTTTGGCAGTAGAGTGTTCAAGAAAAGAGGCTTCTCTTTTACCTCTCCAAGGGAGGGTATATATTTTCTTCATGAGAATCCCTTGTAAAGATTGAAGTACAAAGAAAGACTGACATCTTGTACTTTGGATAGGATGCTTGAGATGTAGAAACCTAGAGTGAAATGTGAAAAGTTTATGTGGAAGAATTGGACATGTTTTCTTAAAAATTGGGAATGTGCCAAGAATAACATGTTGTTATTAAGTGCATCAAGTCGGCTCTGACTCAGTGACTCTGTATAGGGTTTCTGAGGGACAGCTGGTCGGTTTGAACTGCTGACCTTGTTGTTCGCAGTCCAGTGCTGATCCTACAGCACCATCATTGTTGTTGTTAGGTACCATCAAGCTGGTACCGACTCATAGTGACCCTATGCACAGCAGAACAAAACACTGCCTGATCCTGGGTCAACCTCACTACTGTTGCCACGCTTGAGTCCATCGATGCTGCCACTTGGCCAGTCCATCTTGTTGGGAGTCTTCTACTTTTTCTCTGACCCTCTACCGTACCAAACATCCTTCTCCAGTGACTGGTCCCTCCTGACAATATGTCCGAAGTATGAGAGACAAAGTTTGGCCATCTTGGCCTCCAAGGAGCACTCTGGCTGCATTTCTTCCAAAATGGATCTATTGGTATTTTTGGCAGCCATGGCACTTTCAATATTCTCCTCCAACACCATAACTCAAAAGCATCAATTCTTCTCTGGTCTTCCTTATTCACTGTCCAGGTTTCACATGCATATGAGGTTATTGAAATTACAGCACCATACTGATGCCTTCTGGTCTGGAAATTTCAAGGTGAAAAAAATTTGGAGTAATCTTTTGATTAAATTAAAAAAAATTTGGAGTAATTTCAAGTAGGTTTTGAAACATAATATGCTTGTTCCAATACTTCATAATCCTGGAAAAGTGCAGAAGAGAGAAGCTGGAGGTAGTGGAAGGGCTGGAACTTCCCTGGGTGCTACTGAACCAAACAGTAGAATGTCCAAATCAGAGAGGGACCTAGAGAATGTTCCACTGAGGTGGCAAATGAAAGCTATTTCTGCTATTCTGAAGGGGTTCTTGGTATCAAAGGAGGCAGGACCAAGCTGAATATTTTCAAAGAAAACAACACTAATTCCCATGTAAAGACCACCATCAGTAGAGGTCACAGCCAGTTTCATAGGTATACAACCAGTGGAGCTGCACAGGGCCCCACACTCACAAGGACTCCATGGTTAGAGTTTAATATGCAGTCACTGTCTTGAAATTCTTTGAATTTATATTTTGTAAAATAAGTCCTATATAGGACAGAAATCAAAAGAAAATGAAAGGAATAAACAGTCATTGCACCAAAAAGAATTGATCAGCATTCAACCATTTCAAAAGGTAGCATATGATCCAAGAAATGATGGTATTGAAGAAAGAAGTCCAAGTGGCACTGAAGAAATTGGTGGAAAAAATGGTCTCAGGAATTAATGGAGCACCAATCAAAATGTTTGTTCAAAAATTGATACAGCACTAGTCTATGCCAAGAAATTTGGAAGACAGCTTACATGGCCAGTCTATTGGAAGAGATACATATTTGTGTCCATTTCAAAGAAAGGTGACACAACAGAATGTGGAAATTATTGAAAAATATCATTAGTATCGCATGCAAATAAAATTTTGCTTAAGATCATTTAAAAAATGGTTGCAGCAGTACATCAACAAGGAGCTGCCAGAAAATCAAGCCTGATTTAGAAGAGGACTTGGAATGAAGGCTATCATTCCTGATGTCAGATGGATTTTGACTGAAAACAGAACATAAACTAGAACGGTGTTTACTTGTGTTTTATTGACTTTGTAAAGGCATTTGACTATGTGGATTATAACAAACTATGGACAACATTGTGAAGAATGAGAATTCCAGAACACTCCATTATACTCATGAAGAACCTATATGCAGGCCAAGAGGCAGACGTTCAAACAGAAAAAGAGGGATACTGAATGGTTTAAAATCAGGAGACGTATGCATCAGGGTTGTGTCTTTTCACCATACTTAGTCTATATGCTGAGCAAATAGTCCAAAAAGCTGGATGACATGAAAAAGAATATGGTATCAGGATTGGAAGAAAAATCATTAACATCCTGCAACATACTTGCTGAAAGCAAGGAGAACTTGAAGTACTTACTGAAGAAGATCAAAGACTACAGCCTTCACTATGGACCATGTTGTTGTTGTTGTTAAGTGCCGTCGAGTCGGTTCCGATCCATAGCGACCCTGTACAGGGTTTCCGAGGGTGTAAATCTTTACGGGAGTAGAAAGCCTCATCTTTCTCCCGCGGAGCGGCTGGTAGTTTTGAACCGCTGACCTTAAGGTTCGCAGCCCGATTCGTAACCACTACGCTACCAGAACTCAACATAAATAAAATGAAAATCCTCTCAACTGTATCAATAATGCTGTCATTATAAGTGGAGAAAAAAATTGAAGTTGTCAAGGATTTAATTTTACTTGGATACCCAGTCAATGCTCATAGAAGCATCAGTAAAAACATCAAAACAATTTTATTGGGCAAATCTGCTGCAAAAGACCTCTTTTGAGTGTTAAAGAACATAGATGTCATTTTGAGGACAAAGGTATACTTGACCCAAGCTATAATGTTTTCAGTGTCCTTATATGCATATGAAAGTTTGCCAAGGAATAAGGAAGACTGGAGAAGAATTGATGCATTCAAATTATGATGTTGCCAAAGAATATTGAATATACCACGGACTGTCAGAAGGATAAACGAATCTGTCTTGAAAAAGGTGCACCCAGAATGCTCCTTAGAAGCAAGTATGATGAGACTTCATCTTACGTACTTTGGACATGTTATCAGGAGGGATCACACCCTGAAGAAGGACATCATGCTTGGTAAAGTAGAGGGTTAGTGATGGATTGACACTGTGGCTGCAGCACTAGGCTCAAACATAACTAAAATTGTGAGTATGGTGCAGGACTGGACACTGTTTAGTTCTATTGTGCATAGAGTCACTATGAGTAGGAACTGATTTGACAGCACATAACAAAAACAACAAGAGGACAGTAGCACAAGACCTGGGGACTTTGGTCCTCTTGCAGTCATGGTCCTGTCTTCCTCTGCCTGCCCTGGATGATTTCACAGCTACCATCTCTTGGATCTTTTGGTGCTCTAGACCCTGCCTACTCTACCTAACCTCTTCCTCCCAGTTCCTGCCCTGAAACTGCTGCTTGATGGTTGACTGGGTCATACTGGTGGATAAAAGCCTATGTTCTGTTGTTGCCCTTCAACCTCAGATGGTAGCATAGGTGTCAGCAGAGGGGATTGGGATTGGGTGCTTGTATAGCATTTTGGGGTATGATATGGTGGTGAGCCTCGGCCTAACTCCAATCCAGGTATTAAGTGTATTCCTTCTTGAAAGTTACAGTCCCTTGGAAGTTACCTGTTTACCATGGTAACACTGTGACAGAGAGAAACATAGTGGAAAGAAAGAACAGTGTAATATTTTAGTACCTTTAATGGCACTTTTTCCTCACCTTTTATCATTTTGCACTGAAACCCCACAAATTATATAGTTTGCCCTGGCAGAAGCCACAGCATTGAACAGAACCAAACTTAACTTGAACGATGGATGATTTATCTCTTCACCCTTGATGGATTATGACCACTCATGTAAAGAGAATTTTGCCTTTCTTATTTCTCATGCCTTTCCAAACTATTGTAGGCATTAGACCTTCCTCTTCTAGAAAAGGAAGATGTTCCAGAGTCAAACCCCTCCTTCTCCTTAACCCCTTTATGTACCCCAATGAATAAATAAAGTATTAAAAAAAATAATCAACTCTCTAAAGGTCCAGTTGATTAGCAAGTATTCCCCCTCCATT